CACTTAAGTTAGAATAATATATATACAATAATGTTTTTTTTTTGGGGGGGCTTAATACTAATGCCCACTGAGATGACATACATGAGTTGTATTCATAGTACAAAAGAGATCCAGATCCAAAGGAAATCTGGCTTCTCTCTACATTATTGCTCCCTCTACAACACAAGCAGTCACATATCTGAAAATTCTCTGATATAAGATAGAAAAGGTGAGCAACTATATAGAAATGGTGGAAAGGCCTGTGGTTGCCATGGGTCATATGACTTTCTTGTTTTCCCTCTTTCTTACAGGAAAAGAAGATTCCATAAATACTCCAGAACATTCTCCAACTAGAAAAACCATACCAACCCAGGTTTACAACTGTTATCTAATTGGTAGAAGCTGGGGATGCTCTTCAGTATCCTGTAATACACAATGCATATTCCTTCTGCCAACAAAGAACCAGCTGACACAAAATGCCAATAGTGTTATCTCAATCAAAAATTTCAATTTCAAAGTATCAATAGTATTGCTATGGGGGCTGAGGTTTTAGCTCAATGGTACAGCATTTGCCTAGCATGTGTGAGGCACTGGATTCGATCCTCAGCACCACATAAAAGTAAATAATAAAATAAAGGTATTGTGTCCAACTAAAGAAATTATTATTATTATTTTTTTTAAAAAGAGTACTACTATGGAAAATCCCAGATCAAGGGTTATGGTTCTAATCTCAATCTAGAAATTCTGCTTCATTATGAAGCTACCTGCTGTGAGTCTGGAATGTAACTCACTGTGATGAGCACTATAAGATGCTTTACGGTTCTATAGTGAGGTGAGAGTACCAAGCCCCAAAGCCCAAACTAGAGAACTGTTTTGGATGGCAATGTGAATGCACGTAGAAAGTTCTGGAATGCTCATGACAGTTCATCAGAGGAGCTGACTAGAAAGGCATTTGGTGAATTCTAGTCAGAGGGTAGCTGCCTCCTGCACATATAGAGGAATCCAGTAGGATCTTGTAAGAAGCATCAGTGAGCCATGCTCATGGTCATCAACGGGCCCTGAATGACAGTTTGTAAAGATATAACTGCAGATGGAGGATCCAGGAATGTGAGATGGATATGAAACAAATGTACTGACTGGAGAGGGTGCTGCTTTCCATGCTGACTCCAGCAGAGTCTTCGTCATATAGGAGTAAAGGGGGAGCTAACTTCACTCGGAGCCCTTCCATAGCGAACCTTTTCTCCCAATGCTTATCAGTTTTGATATGGCTAAGATTTTAATCATCACCAGTTTTATACACATGGAAAAGCTGGTAGATTTAATGAAGCTTCCAGATACCCCCTGAGAGATGATTATAACTCTAATTAAAAATGGGAGATGACAAAGGAGAATCCCGTGAGACTCTGTAAGCAAGTGGCATTCATAAGTCGTCTTTCATGGAGAAGATTACTTTGTTCATGTCACTTTGGGCTCTTTCCAGGAGTAAAGGATGGTGTCTCTAAATTTTATTACATTATGAAATTTAATGTAGTTTGAAGATAAGAAAATGTATTAAATTGTAAGGGGCAAAAGTGTTTCTAAGTCAAGCCAGATTTTCATTTCATTTCATATACCTATACTTTGCCATCTCCATGATTACATATGGCATAGAATATCAAAGGTATCATCTAAATAAATTCTTTCTTAGTGTCAACTCCAGGCATGAAGAAGAACAAGGGAGGAATGAGTGGGGCAGAATGAGCACTGGGAATCCATACTCAGAAAAGACTTGGAGACCAGGTAGGTATGGCCGGTCAGAGTAGGTAATTGGGGCATGGATCCGGGTAACTAAATGATAATGATGGACCTCAGACAATTATCAGGGAGGTCTTGAAGTTCAAGGCAGTCACATGCACTGAGACACACGTATCGAAGACAGAACCACTAATAGAAGCTCATTTTATCACAAGAAGGCCAATCTTCAGATTTTAGGGAGTTCATGAGAGAGGCTTGGCTGTACTTGGGTCCTGAAAGGGAAATCCCATTACTTAGTATCCATCATGGGGGTACAGGAGGGCAGAGTGTAGCCAGAAAAAGCCAGAAGCAGAAGGGCACAGCTCATTGAGAGGTCTTAGGCTTAGGTGGGCTGTGCATTTGGACAAAACACAGCCCCGGATAGAGATTTCAGTAGGCTACCCAGACATCCTTCTACGTCCCCTAAAAATTATAACACTCCACCTTTATACAATAGACTTACATTTTCTAATCCATACATATATTTTACCAAAGAGAAATAAAATGAGAGAGAGCTAGGCCAGCATGAAGCCAGTTGTGGCATTAACCAAAGGTGTGATATGGGCCACCTCTATATTTAAGTCATGGATGTGGTGACTGTTCTATCCACTGAACTTCCACTGATTGGCATGAATTGGGGCAGGTCTCTGAAAAAGAAGCCCCGGGATTCAAGATTCTTTCCTGGATAAGGTGACTGTATACTTGCAGACTCACATCCCGAGACACCAAGATGCTCTGGGAGACTGACCTGCAGACAATGATCACTGAGAGTTTTCTTAATGATTGGCAAGATCTGGAGATGTCCCACCAGTGCCCAGGTCTGGGGAACTGTCTTTAGGATGAATACATACACCTGAACCCAAGCTGCTTGCTTTGAGATTGGTGGTCCCCAAATTCATCTCCAGCCTTGATTCCTTCCCAAATCCTACACGTAATTCACAAAATTTCTACCTGTGATTTTCAAATAGTGTGCATCTTCTCTGCTGGGAATGCCTTGCCTCTTCTCCATCAATGCCATCCTGAACCTTCTCCCTGGAAAACCCCCCAGGTCAGCTACTTTCTTCATATTTCATACTCTCCAAGTTCATTACAACAACTCTAGTTAAATAATGTCTGTGGTTGGCCACTTGGTTATTTTTCTTATGAAGCAGAAAGGACTTTGAATTCAGGGACCATTGGTTTAAGTACACAAGAACTGTGTGCCTAGCTCAGTGCCTGCCACACAGTATAGGCTCAATAAATATTTGTGGAAGGAGCAACAGAGAGAGGAAGGTAGAAAGGAAGGTTAAAGAAGGAATGAATACCACTAACAAGGCAGATAGCCGATTCAGGCTCTTCCAAAAGGACCAGCCTGCTTGGAAGAGCCCATTTCATAGAGATCTACAAATGAATTGGCAAAGGCCTTCCGTGACTTCAGGACTGATTCTTACTGTACTTACTGGCAGAACCCCAGGGAATCCTTCTTCATGAACTGGTAGTGGCATACCTTCCTGGAAAGCCAGCACACAGAGGCATCCAGCACCAGCTACGGGAGGCCATGCCAGAGGGCTCCTGGCATCTCAGATGCTGGGCCTTGCTAAGTCCTGCCATGACCTACTAATTACCTTCGAGACCCTGAAATGTGATATTATGGCATTTGATAATTATCAATAATGACCCAAACTACTCAACCTTAGTTTTGGTGAATTGCTTTAATCTATTTGATGATCCTCATCAGATGAAAGATTTTGTGGAGCTGGGGCCTCATTCAGAAATTCCGATAGATAGCTTTAGAAAGTGCTGCTTATTTTTTTTTTTCAAAATAGTAGCCAATGGTGACAAAGATTACTGCAGCTAAAAACCCTGAGGAATATCTATGAGGATTTTTCGAGATGCTAGAACTTGACAATACAGATGCTTCTACTTTCCACAGTCCTCAGCAAACCAATAAATTCATTATTCAAGATATTCAATAGAACATTCAGCACATATCCTTAGCTGCTCTCAGAAACCGGTGCCGTTGATATATAAGCTGTGCAAAGAAAGTGCTTTTAAGCTCACTGGTGAACGTGGTAATGTACTATCCCCCAATCAAAGAATCAAAGAATGAGCCAGAAGGCATCTTATAGATAGACTCATCTGAAATAAGGACCCTAGGGCTCAGATGGGGAAGGTAAGTCACTTAGTAACCTGTCCAAGGACACACAGTCAGTGAGTGGCCCAACGTGGGTTAAAACCAAACATGATGACCTTATAGTACCTGTCTGCTGCTCTGTACTGATGGCAAACTCCATCCTACACACATAGGAAAAAGAGCAGCATCACATAGGCCCAAGCTTCTGAAGAAACCATGGCCCCTACTAAAACAATAGCCCATTTAAATTTAGTGCAGGCTGGTCAGGCCCAGAGCTTTACCAGCCCCCAGAAAACAGAGTATTGTTTCCATCCAAACCTTGTACTGAAAGGAAGCCTGCCATCTGGCAATGACCTCGTGAGACAACTTTGGGGAGAGCAAAGGGCTGAGAAGAGAAAGGCCTTATTCTCACTGCAAACAGGAAAAGGAAAGAGAAAAAGCCAGCTCTGTCTCCACACCAGGTTTGCTGGGCTGGCTATGAACTGTTCCAGGACGTTCCATCAAATAGACGCCTTCATAGAGTCAAGCCAAGCGCGAACACTGTGTCTGGGACTCCCACTCCTGGGACACACACGTGGGCCTGCTCACACTCACTCCTGTTCTTGCGCACCCTGGGAGAGCGCTTATATGGGCTTCATGAGGCTAAGTAATAAACACTTTGTCTTCACCCTGCTATTTATGGGTTGCTTGGGGCATCCTGTTCTCTCTGCTGCCCTTACCTGAACAGACGGCTCTTGCAGACCCGCAGTTTAATGGGGACGACAGTAAATCTGAAAGGCTCTGTGTGCCGGGCACGCTCCTACTCTCCTGCCCACCCTGCTATTTCCATAGACAGGCCATCCGTGCATCTATTCTGTATCCATGCATCTATTCTCGGGGCTCCCCATCTCAGGAGGAAGCCCTCCTTTCTCCTTGGGCCTTGGTCTTTTTCCTTCCTTTCAGCCATCGCTCTAAGAAATCCTTTTCTGTGTTACCTCTCCCAGGGATCTCCCTTCACCCATCAGCCGTGGAGCAAACCGTTGTGCAAACAAGAGCAACTCCAAGAGCTGCAAACCAACAGCAGTGGCCTCCAGTGGAGGTTCCTGGGCAAACTGGACGCACGCACATGCAGAGCGAAGGAGATGACCCGTCCTACCTGGCGCTGACTTCCAGGTTCACTTAGAGGCCGAGTGCTTCCCTCGGCCCAGTGTGTTTGGATGGCCAAGGGGGAAAGATGCACATTGGGAAGCAGGAAGTGTGCCCCACCAGCAGGCGTCTGGTAGCTGCAGAGGAAATGCTGGGAAGGTCCAGTGGATGGGAAGCCCCAGCTGATCACCTTGGTGAGTTTAGGGGGGCTCTTTTTTACTCTCTTCTTTGGGGTTTCCAGGACTCTCGGGGCTGACAAGTCCTAGGAGAAGAGATGGAGTCACGGCTGCTCCCTGTCCACTCGCAGGCCATCATACCAGCCTGGAGCCCTGCCATCTCCCGGTCTCGTGTTCATCTCGGGCCCAGCGGTGGACTTCTGAAAACAGACAAGACAGAGAAGGATGCATTAACTCGGCCTCTCCCCACAGAACGCAGCTCGCCATTGCAGCACTGATTAAATACGGGACATTATCTCACCATAATGCCCTCCTGGCGGCGTTCCCAGGAAAATTCTAACTAATCATAAAAATAGAAAGAAAAACGCAACCTAAATTCCATTCCTCGTCTTAAATGAGTGATGTGTTCACTTTTATTTATTTTTCTGGAAGCGAGGCGGGAAAAGAAAATGAATTTTAGGGCTTAGAAAAACAAGCTACTAATAGTACTAAGTAGGGCTGGGCGGTGGTGCAGACAGCTCAGCTCTAGCAGATGGAGCCGGCATGGCATGGCCTGGCATGGGTGGGGCCTGGTGCTTCCCCTGGCTGTAAACTTTGAGTTTAAAACTGGAGCACCTGGCAGGGAAATGCTAGGATTGGGGGGAGGACTGGGATGGTCGTAGGGTTGACACGTGAGTTTACACACACGTGAGTTTACACACACCAACACACACACCCCACAGGAGCTCAGTGCTCAATAATTTCCTTATGTCCCTGGCAGGCAAGTCCTCATCCAATACTCTTTCAAGCAATGCCTGATATTTCTCTAGCAACATTCTTTCTGTAGACACAGTCTGGTTTTGGTATTCTCTCCCCTGAGGATCCTTTCCTTGAGATTCAGCGACTCACACTTTAGACACTGGAATAAGTGGGAACCTGCTCCAAGAACCTTGACTCTGATCCAGGTGTTGCATTCTAAATCCTCCCTTCATGGCAGTCATCTGACTGTAATGAATGCCATGATCCCATGGTTGGTTAACTTGGTTGTCATTCATTCTCTTGGATCAAAAAAGAAAAAAAAGTGTATGTCTTGCTACCCAGTGCTGGGTACATAGCAGCTGTTCAACAAATAGCTCTGTTGGAGGGGTGCTCATGGTCCATCCAGACCTGTCCATGATTACCTTAGGGCTTAGGCTTAGCAGCAATCAGCAGATGTGGTTGCTCCAGATGGGTCCACAACACTGAGTACCAAGCTCCCCCCCAAAACAGTTTTTGCTCTTTCCTTCTGCAAAGTATTCACAGATAAACCCCAGGAAAGTTCAGAATCCTGAAAAAACCAGCTTCTGAGATGCTTCTCATAATGTTATGCCAGATGAAAAGAAAGCAGAAGACACGCCTCCATGCCTCCTACCTCTACCTGGACCCGCTCTGGCATCAGAACCCCAGTGATGCCATCCCCCATCGTAGCTACTGCTGAAGTAATGGGCACAGTTGCTTGATGGCAAAGTTCTAGCTGGGCTAATTAAGCATACTGAGCTAATAACCTTCCATTTTGGGACCGGTATTATTCATAATTTAATGTATTGCTGCTGAAACATTAACCTTTCGACAACTGGCACGTTGCCCGTGGCAGCACAAGTGCTGACCATCTTTCAGTAGAATGAGTATTATTGTTAAAACAGGTATAAATCATTCATGGCTGCAGCTTTTGTGTCAGAACCTACGTGAAAATAAGCAGTAAGCTGGGTAATTTATTTACCTTTTGGTGATTATTTTTTATGATTTTATGTTCATATTCAATGATTCATAAACATTGGCTGGGTGCCATTTTGTAATCATTTTACCTTTTAAATATTAGTGTGGCGGTTCTGCTTTTCATCTTTGAAATTTTCAGGATTGATACCGGGCAACTTAATCCGGGCACAAATGCAAAAATTCATTTGAAAGAAGGGTGGGGGAGGGGAGAAAAGTGTCAGAAAAGTGTCCCGGCCTCTTCGTTTTAACAAACCATTTTCAACAGAACCATTTACAGCTTCCACTTGTTACAGCATTGCACTTATGGCAGCAAACTTTCTTTGAAGTTTAACACACAGAGGGTGCCTTGAAATCTGAATAAAAGCACAGGAAAACAGTTAACAAGCTTCTGGTTGGAAAGATGATGGGAAGGAGCTGAGGGGTGGAGGGAGGCCTGGAAACACTGGCTCCGGGCCAAGAAGGTTGGACGTGGCCAGCCCTAACCCAGCACCTGGTTAGGGAATGTGATTACAATCCCCTGGGGTCCTGGAAGTTCTACTGCCTGCCTGCCTGCTCCTGCTGCTTGTGCTAGCTTTGGGCCTCCCCAACCCAAACAGTTCCAGAAGGTAGCTCTATCTCCTATGACAACAAGCAGGAGCTGGAGAGGCTGCGAGGCAGTCGGGTTCTTCCTGGCCTACAGGTTCAGGAGAACTCCCAGCATCCTGCGGGCTGTCCTCCGGGACCCCTTCACATTTCTTAGACCAATGAAAACGTGGGCTTCCTAATATGTGGTGACTGTCGCTAAAGTCCTGATGCTGGGAGGCAAGGAGGACAGGAGAGAGCAGAAAATGTGAGTGACATCATGCTAAAACTCTTAAGGCAGAAGGAGGCTTGGGAACAAGAAGCTTCTGGAAGCTCATCTCACATCAGGTGTGTTGGCATGGAGGGGCACCTGGCCAGAGAAGACTGGCAACTTTGCCCCAGCCATAGATGAGGTCCTGAAACACAGCCATAAGCACAGACTCCCACACCCAGCAGGCTTCTTCGAGAGCACAGGAATGGGTATACTTCTTTCTGGGGTGGTTTCAACAGACCGGCTCTGGGATAGCTGCTGACCATCTTGTCCACCTTCCGATTGTTTGGTTTCCAATTTGTAGCTTTCACGATTCTTTTAGATTGGATTATCTGATTTTAGGTTTTACACACATATTTTACATCCCTGATCATTCACGGTGGGAAAATATATACAACACACCATTAACCATTTTAACCATTTTTAAGTGTGCAATTCAGTGGCATTAATCACATCCAAGATGTTGTGCAAATATCACCACTATCTATTTCTGAAACTTTCCATCACCCTAAAGAGGAACTCTTTACCCATTAGGCAATAAGATCCTCCACCCTTCCCCCCTGCTTCCCTGCCCCCGGCCCCTGGAAACCTCTAATCTACTTTCTGTCTCTATGGATTTGCTCTTCTGGACGTTTCATGTAAATGGCATCATACGATATGTGTCCCTTTGTGTCTGACTTATTGCACTTAGCATAATGTTTCCAAGGTTCATCTATGTCGCAGCATGTGCAAGAACTTAATTTTTTTAATGCTAAAAAATATTCCTTTGTATGCATATATCACATTTTGTTCGTCCATTCATTTACTGTTGGGCATTTGGGTTGTTTCTCTGTTTTTGCTATTGAAATAATGCTGCTGTGCACATAGATGTATAGGTATCAGAGTCCCTATTATACTTTGACTATTATACTTTTTTTTTTTTTCAAAAAAGTTCATTGCACATTATATTCTCTGATCTACCTTCATCTTGAATGCTCTGCTTCTAGCTTGGCAGAGTTGGCCTGGGCACAAGTGGTAAAGCCATTTCTGCCTGGGAACTCCTTTCCAGCCATCCTGTCCATACCATAGCTTCAGCGGCATTCTGGTAGTGGCCCTGTGGCATTGCCAAGCCTAGTGCTGGTTGTGAATTCTGCGCCAGTAACCCTCAACTCCCTACGGTGGACTTGATAAAACAGGCTGCTTCTCAGGTATGCTAAAGAACAAATTAAGAAACAGAATAACCTGGGATGAGTGAAATTCCCTTTCAATCATGTCAGCCAGAGCAGATGTTGTCATGAAATTTGATGTTATGGATTTATTTCCTCATACAAAGTCTAAAAGGGAAAACAGCGTAAGAGCTGAAATGTGAATTGGACATGTCTATAGAGTGTGAATTGGATTCAAGACAAAATATTGTGAATGGTTAATAGGGTCAGTCTAAGTATACTTGCTGAAATAATCTCTTGGATATGCAAATATTCTGAGAACTACACTGTCAAATATCTATTGTATCCTCTTATCTATGTGTTCACAGAACTGCTACATGTTATAACAAATGAAAAATGTGAATTTAAAAAATAATGTCACCCTAAAATAATACTTTGCTTTGAATAGTAATTTTTGTTGTTGGAGTTTTTTTTTCTTTTTCATTTTTGTCACATACCAGAAAGCCAGGTTCTTAACACAGCAGTTTTTAGAAATATTAAGACGTGAACTTTGTGCTCCCTGTTCTCAGCAGTCACAGACATGGAGTAGGAGTAGGGATAGAGCAGGGACAGGTCACATGTCCAGCTTGATCTGGGTCAATAACATACCTTGGTATTACCTCACTGAAGTTTCTGCTTCTCAGTGGCCTTCCCTTTCTTGGGGACTCTGAGTTGAGGACCTGAGATGTGTCTCAACATGGTAATCACACACTACAATGAGGACGAGGCCAGGGAAATTCAGACAAAGAGGCTTGAGGAGATGCTACAGCCTGAACCATGGACAATTTCTAGAGCTCCATCATTGGCAAGTAGCCGAGTGGATCGAATTGTTCAGTTTCTTTTCCTCTCCTTTGCCTCATTTTTGAGACTTGGGGCTAGTTGAGCAGAGAAGGAAGGAATGAGCAGAGTCAGGAACAATAATGGCTGGCCTGGCACACCCTTCACATCCTAGAACTGTCCCATGGAAGGTACTCAAAAAAAATATAGTGAATCAACAGCGGCACTAGATACCCGAGAGCTGACGTGACCTGACCAACGGGTGTGCCCCTCTCTCTCTGGTCTGGCCTAAGTTTGCTGGGTTTGATTAACTTTGGCCGAATTTGGCTCATAGAACTGTCAAGAGGTGGGAGAATGAAAGACAGCCCTTTCATCCCATTTAAATGGGAATATCTCCAACGTTTCCACTTTACAAGTTAAAATCCAAGTCTCCGGATTCTCTACAGAAAGGATGCTAAAGGCCAAACATGGGGGAACAACTGGCCCCAGCACCTGCTTTCTGCTCTTCGCCCATTCCTAGGATGCACTCCATCCTTCCTCGGGTTCTTGTCCCCACATTCCTTCCCTGATACCTATTCTGAATCCCACCTGCTCCAAGCCCTGCCTGCTTTTTCCTGGCCAAGGTGATACAACCTCCTGGTTTCCCCTCCCCTCCTTCCTCTACCCAGTGTGC